CGATTCTACTTTCTGCTACTTTTAAAATTTTCTCAAGCTTTATTTTATAGTAACTTCAAAATATTTAATAAAAATTTCCGACGAAAAATATATAATATCAAGAATGAATAACATCAAAACATATTCATTAATCTAATCTTGTGTTGAATAAAGTTTTAATAGTTTATATGTATAATGACGTAGTGTGACATGTGATATGTCCGATAATACAAATTAGTTAAAGGCTAATCAAGGAATATGTGTTTTATCGCGTCGAGACACTTTGGAGTCCTACGTGATACACACTTGGAAATTTCGTGCTCTGTATTTTTCCTACACAGTACTTTTCTACTTTATACTTTTTGACAGATATAAAAAAAGCTGAATTTTTTATGAAATTTTACATTAATAAGAATAGTAAGGCTTATAATCACATTGACTTTTCTAATTAAAATTTCTTATGTATATTTAATTAATAAATATCTTACTTTTTATTTTAAAACACCCACGCTATATTAATTAATATATATACTATTAATATCACGGATATTATCACACAATTACACATTCTCACACTCAAAATTTACATAAACATTCTATAAATATTTTTTCAATTTCTTTGGCTTAATATCCTCGAGCTCTCTAATTACAGATATTGTTTTCACACATATAATTATTTTAATTACTTCATTATAATTCGTATCGAGATATTTCTGTAAAAAAAGGAAAAAAAAAACATGTACGAGCTGATTGTCACACAATTGGAGGAGGTCAGGGCAGCCGTTTGTCTCCAATCCCGAGAAAGAAACGTTGGGTTCCCCTGCGTTTTCTGTTACACCGGGTGACCTACTGTTCCTTTCTCGGAGACGAGAAGAAACGCGCCGCGATTACGGATGCATTATTTATCTATCTCCTCTCTTATCCATCACCGCGAGACTGTTCGCGATATATATATATCCTTCTTATTCGTCCATCCTGAGATATCATTTCGAAGGATTATACTTTTCGCTCTGCCATCGATCACGCGATTTTTCCCTTTTGCTACGGCAGAGGGAGCATGCGTCTATCGATCAAACCGCGGAGTGATTGATCGAGGTACGTTGGATATATTGCACGATCGTACAAAAATTTGTCGAAAGCAAGATCGGGAGAATTAAGAATAACATCGTCGCTCCTACGGATGCTGTTATGGATAATAGAGAAAGGGAAAAGTCGGAAGTGTATTATTCTTTCTTTTCATTCAACATGGAGAAAGAAAGAGAGAGAGAGAGAGAGTAGCTGAGTGTAGCAATTACGAATATGATTGCTTCTCAGTCACTTTCAGATCCTCCGAGTTCCATCATTGTAAGTCGATAACTCATCGGTTTCGATTTTTTTATTTCTCTCATTTTTGGACCTCATACATTTGGTAGCCTATCTCGAGTTTGATAATAACATTTGTACGTTGATTATTTCATTCTTCTCTTTCCTTTAACCTCTTACGTTTTAAAATTCCTAGTACAGATAATATATCGCTTATAGAACTTGTCTATCTTTTTCGTTTAATTATAAATCTGGTCCTCGCGGTTTCGGAAAGGTATTTCTCTTTTCCTCCGATAATATACCTAGTCGGGTGACAGTGAACCAGTTTGCTTCTGGTTTTTTAACGCGACAAATGGATCATGACATTAAAGATCGCGATCTGTCATCATTGATTGTCGAAGGCGATAAATAATTCGCAGCTTGCTCCAATTAGCATTATCGGATAAGGAATAATTTCTCGCGAGCATATAGTGAGAGCGTATTACAAAAATATTAGTATTAAATAAATGATACGCGTAATTAAATCGATTAGAACTATGAATTATTATAAAAATAATTAAATTTCGTAATTAACGTGAGGTATAGTTAATTGTATTTAATAATAACTAATTATATGTAATTTCTCTAGGTTTTCCGCTTCGCAGAGGGAAGAGATAGTATCTTCGTTCCTCGATGTCCAAATAAATACCGTCAGAGTCATCGACCCGCGTCGGCCGCGACAAAGTTATGCAAAATGCGGTTGGACGTAATGAGAAAGCAGCCCCTAGTACTTGTTGCTTCGATTACTTAATATCATTGTATATATATATCTATATATATTACGAGAAATCTCAGCGGTGCTTTTTTGCTAATAAAACCATCGGCTTTTACACTGCGTAATCTTCCCGAAGACATTGACAAGCGACAATGATAATCTGGGAGATAAGTGATTGAACGCAAAGAGAAGAGAAATTTGCGATAATATGTAAATAAATAAGTGGCGTAATTAGTGTAATAGAATAATTAAAAAATCATAAATTTGTCCACGTACATCATTTTCATAAAATATTTTCGTTGAATAAAATATGTGTTATTCTGTGCTATACATTCATTTTTAATTTGCATTAATGATTAATTAATACGAAATACGTTCTAACAAATGAGACGATTTCACAGAATTTTTTTTAGAATCGTTGCCTTCTTTTTGAGGACATTGAATTCCAAACTCGAATCGCGATGAATATTTATCCAAGTTTATCGGCAATTTGTACATATGTTTCTATACTTTTAGATATATATATTTGTTCATATGGTTAATTCATTTGTTCAGCAATCTCTAACTTGAAATATAAAAAATTACAATTATTTCATAGATAACAAGGGGAAAGATAAAGAGTAAAAAATAAAAAAAAAAGAAACGGAATATTTCAATTATGTCATCGCGTACTTATGGTATATCATAATCTTAAGTAGATCATCTAGTTGATAGTTATTAAAATTAATTAGCCGAAAGATAAATCTTCTAAACGATTAATATACGATTAAATCGCAGATTTCTTTTCGTTTCAATATATTTAATAGATGTGTTTTGCAATAAATTGACTTCTGTTCTAATAACGAGACACATTGTACACTTGACCGTAATTTATTGTTTGTTCGACATTATTTTACTGCTATAAGGATAAAATCGCTAGTAATAATTTATTTATTTCACTAACAATTAATATAAAGCATTCTGAAAGAATTTTAAAATTGTATATTTTCATTATCATCAATTATTCGTCAACTTTATTTACTTATGCAATATACTTAGTTCAGGAACAAAATGAATAGACTAGAGAGATCAAGATCCTATAATTTTTGGCACTCATAAGTATACCGTGATCTATTTTCAAAGCTATATTAGAATAAATGTCAAATATAAGTACAGAAAAATCTGAGACATAGAATCTTTAAAATTCCATGAAAAATTTTTTAACATTATCATATTCCAAAATTTCTTATACTGCTTATATTAATAAATATAAGTGAACACTTAATTTTTATGAAAACAGAATTCGGAAAATATATTATGTAAAAAGTAGTAAATTACTAATCAAATATTCATAAAGATATTAAAATTGTACAATCGAATCTTTGTGGCAAAAATAATTTAATTAAAGCAAAAAATGCACAATTTCTCCATTCCAAATTAAAATGTATTTGTCAATGACTAATTGCAGGTTTCGACCAAATAATTTCTTGGCAGCGTTTTACATAATATATAGAGTGTTCTGTTATATTGCTATCGTAAATATACAACGTTTATATCATAAAGATCTAGAAAAATTATTCATCCACGGAAATTCAATTGAAAATCGTGTCATGAGCGCTTTGAAATTTGTAAAGTTTCAATTGCTTACATTAAATAAAAAATTATATACCATATATTGCAAGTTTCCTAATAACAACTCATCACGTACTAAAATTTGGTTCATGTCCATTTAAAATTAATGGAAGAACTCTTTCTTCCTCTCTTTCACCTAATTACACCTCCGCATTAATTTTGCCGAAAGCACATCTCCCTTTTGTTTCCGACAAAGAGAGTGAGAAAGAGAGAAAGCGTGATGTTAAATTGGGTCGATGAGTGCAGAGCAGACTTTGCGCATACGATACCGTGAGACAGTCGTCAACAAATTTAATATATGTATATACGGTGGTAAATATTTTCCGATGCGGAAGAGCAAAACCGCGCGCGCGCGCGAGCGTCTTGATAATAATTTGGCAGGTCTACACATACATACGTTCATTTTCGTGCATTCGTATGTGCGGAAATACACGGAATCATCGTGTAACGGGAGAGTGACGGCCGACTGGCCGTTGGCACAGTGGAGGGTTTTCTACATATAGAGGTGAGCGCGAGTCGCGAAACGATTCAGTCTTCTCGAAACCACGCAGCAATAAAAGACAAAGTCGCGGATAAACAACAATAGCCGCGGGCACGTTCGTCCAAGTGTCGATCCTTCGCGCGAATATTTCTTTATTGATTCGAGCGAGTTTCGTGTCAAATTTGTGCTACGTTGCGGCTGTCAAACGCGCGTCCTCTTCGGGGTAAGAAAGCCTTCTTCGTGGCGCGAAAAATCAGTGATATTCCTCCCCCTAATCGCATTTCTAAGCTCGAATGTTGTAAAAAATTTTCCTCGATTTCTGTGATCGATCAGAATTTAATGTATTATATTTTAATACAAGAAATTTATTTTAAAATGTTATGTTAAAATTTTTCAAGCTAAATAGATTGAAACTACAGTTTTCTTGTATGCTCCTAAACTGCAATGCAGATGATATGATACGATAATTAATTATCGATGAGCGTAAATTGTGATACCTATAATTAATTTGTTATCGAGAGATCGAGTTATCTTTGAAAATGGATTAAGCAAAATTAGTTAATAGTAATTAATATTTTTTTTTCAATTTGTTTCCTTAAAATATCCGACATTTTAAATTAACATTATATCGTGCGCATAATTACAGATGCAACGTGATACTGCGGAAATACATCCGTTCGACAAGTTCCGCAAATTATATAAATTAACATATCGAAAGTATGCAACAAAAGGAGAGAGAAAGAAAGAGAGTCGTTATCAAAGAGTAAAGACATATCAAGTAGGAAATTAAACGAGATTAGATAGTAAGCTACTGGTTTTTTTTCACGTTCGTGTCATACAAAAATCGCACTGTTTCACGCATTGATGCCATAATTGCGCGAACTAAAACACCGGGAATATTTAGCGATGTATTAACGCAGAATCGCAACAAGCTGCGATCGATCGATGTAACGCGTATACTAAATCACTTTAATTAACTGAGTGTGATTGCCCGGCGAAACGTGCGATTCAATCGTTTACGCGCTGAACGTCAAAGTTCGTTTGACAGCTCGGGGAATTTAGCTTCTTGCACTTATGCCTCCTATTTGCACGATATAATTCCATTGTTCTCTATTGATTTGACGAATTTCGGTCAACTCTGTATCAAGTTCAATGAGATAACTGATATTTACATTGTCATTGATTCTCTCTCTCTCTCTGTTTGCACAGCTGGTATTTCAAGTCAGATAGAAACTATTTCGAGAATTGGTCTTCTTATTTTGTGATTTGACAACAAAATATCTGGTGAGGGAATTTCACAAAAAATGTGAATATTTATCGAAGGATTTTACGAGAGAAAAAACAGGATCTAAAATTTGCCAAATTTTTATCGAAATTTATTACAATTCTACTGGAATTTACGGTAGTACAAATAACGTTACGCACGCATGTTAAGTCTTTAAAGTACATTGATAAGATAAGGAGGAAAAATAAATATATTGCAAACTTATTTGCATCTGTTGTTTTCGCGCTACAATATCTTCAAAAGAAAATTACTAACAAAGAAGCCAAGAGACGATTCCCACAATTTATTTTGCTATAATTTAAATTAAGAAATATAGTAATAAAATGAATTTTTCTGTATTTTATGCTTTCAGCGATCGTTTAATTGTATCGAGACATGGAGCAAAATGGTATATCGACCATAATATCTCCATCAGAAAATTCTGGAAAGTCCAAGAACATCGGCATCACGCTAAGATCTAATGGTAGCTTTCAATCGGCTAAGGAAAAGTTCAAGGCACCCTGTGAGTATAAATTAATAGTGCAATTACAATCGTTTCTCCAAAATGTACAGATTTTAATAGAAACTCATATCTCTCGAAAGTTATACGAATTGAAAATAATTTTACAAGTACATTTAATAAAAATTAATTGCATTATTTATATTGTGGAAGGATTTCTATGATACACACCAAAATTCTTTTCAATATATCTCAAACTTCTATACATTGCGCATCTTTTTCTTTCTTTAAGAAAGGAGTCGACTTTCGAATTTTTTTTTGATAAATTTCGCATGAAATTATAGTTCACTGTTGTACAGAATTTGATCCAAATTGGGTAATCCGATTTTATCTCGATACGGTTCGCAGAAATTTATGTTAAATAAAAAAGTAGCGCAACGCATTGTGGAATATCAAACGCAGCCGAGTGAATAAAAGCGCTTCTAGTGTGCTAGTGACAAATTTTCGTGTCCGTAAAACTATTTGGAACAAATTTCATTATAATTCATAGAGGTTACTGCCCCATTAGAATATGGAACTTACTTTGCAGCTATTTTCGCACAAATGTACATATCAATCTGGACTAGACCTCGAACTTTTAATTCGAGATCGTCCGATTTTGCAGCGATTAATCGTTCTTTCGCGAATTTGCTCCATTTTTAAGCAAAGTAAACAAAAAATGAACATTGTTAGATCGAGTACATAATTGTAATATTTCTGTTTATCAACAAGCAAATCTAAGTTTTTTTAAAACGATTGTTCGTCGAATAATTTCTCAATTAATGTAATGTAAAAAGTGGAAAGTTAGAAAGAAACAAAGAGACGTTTACAATGGAAGCAAATATTAAAAAGAATTCTACTGCGTGTCATAAATCTTATCTCAACTTTCTTCTTTATTCTATCATCATGGTAATCTTGTGTTCACTTCTCGATGTTAAATATTAATATTAAAATATAATATTAAGAGTTAAATTAAATTTGACTAAAATCTCAAAATTATATAAAAAATGCTGTTCACTCATCTTTATTTTATTTTCCGATGAAAATCTGACTGTCAAAAGGACAGTTTTGACAGAACTTTCGTGCTTTAAATATTGGAAAATTATCGAACTTTTATAAATTTTTGCCTTCTGATTCATGTATATAATTTGGGATTCTCGCCGCATGAAAGTTTCGCGGCTTCTGAAATTCCATTCGGGGAAAAAGGAAGCGCACAGAGAGAAGTCGTTTCGCGGGCAAAGTTTCATAGGAAGGAATCAATCGTGTAACAAAATGGAGAGGCCTCGCGAACGATGAGTTGGTTCCTGCTTTCAAGATTGACCTTAAACTCGCGGAATTGTTTGTTGTATCGCGAGTCGCGATCGACCTCCTATTCGGAATATATATGTATATTCTTCGTCGCGACGCATCCAACTCGCCTCGGTTTTCTCGGTGAAAGAAAGAAGAAAGCGGAGGTTGCATTACCGCGAGCGCATGCTAAGCGACGCTCTACGAGTATTCCCGTCCTGAAAATTGGGTCGGAAATCGGATTTGCGAGAGACTCCGAGGGGGAAATTTCTCTCTTTCGCGCGCTTGCACATTCCCATCTCGTCGTATCAGTCGGCGATCCTTGATACGAGAAAATTAGGAAAATTAGGTAAGTTAAGTTCTCGCGCGCTTAAGGCTAACGTCACCGGAAGTCGTATCGAGAGCGTTTATTATGCGGGCGACGTTCTCTCTCGCATCAGAGAAAAAAAATGTTCCGGTAACGATTCACGTTTCGAGCACGTGACTTTACGAATCGATGTCATTCTCGATATAATCGCGTTTTAATGCTTTAAAACTGTCGCTTGTCAAATCCGCGATCTAAAATTCATTCGCATATTTTTTATCCTAATAATTCTTCCTATTTTTTCTTCCTTCATCCTAATAACTTTATTTTTATGTTAAATAAAATATATTAATAATTTTAATCCTAATAATTCTTCGTTACGAACAAAAGATAAAAAACGAAAAAAAAAAAAAAAGATAAAACATGTTCCGGTAACGCGATTGACGTTTCAAACACGTGACTTTAATCGAGAATCGATACCATTCTCGATATAATCGCGCTTTAATGCTTTAAAACTGTCTCTTGTCAAATCCGCGATCTAAAATTCATTCACATATTTTAATTAATTAGTAATCCTGCGTTATAAACAAAGATAAAAAATAAAAATAAAAAATGTTCCGGTAACGATTGACGTTTCGAGCACGTGACTTTACGAATCGATATAATCGCGCTTTAATGCTTTAATGCTGTCTTCTGTCAAATCACCGGATCTAATGAATTTAGCGGATAAATTTTGTTGTAAATAAATCCTAATAATCTTTCGTTACGAACAAAACGCAAGAGTTTCAGTAGTTTTAGCCGTCGTGTGACGCGACGGAGAGTTCTCTCGATCGTCTCGCCGTTTTGATCTAGAAAGCGGATTGTGTTTCTTTTGACGAGCGTATTTCGGTCGTTTCTCTAGGAAAAAGAAAGTACATAATGCGACCGCATCAGGAAACACGGTTGCTCGGACGTTTTTACAAGGCACGTATGCGAGGAGAAGCTCCCGCTAATGAAATTAGATGGTAATTAGTAATTATAAAGCGGGACGACGCGCGTAAGCCAAGCTTCTTCTCTTTTCTCGCTTCTATTACTTTTCTCTTTCGTTTTCACGAGCGCGGAAAATAACTGGAGTTTTGAGATCTTAATTTCAGGCAAGATTCGATCTCCTCTTCTTCAGTTCCTTCGGTTTGTTACACGCTTCGCGGAATATCTACAAACGTTAGGTGTTAATTAACTCGAGGCATCATTTCCGTTGGACCTCGCACGCGTTTCTCAACAATGCGTTCCGCGAAAGTCTTGCGAGATAAACGGCGAAAAAAGAAAGGAAAATAAAGGGTGAGAGGAATTGATTATTCCCGAATGGCTTTTGTATCTTCCTGAGAAAATCTCGGGAAACGGATATATTCGTACCCGGAATGCTAAATTATTCGCGTGCACTTTCACCCGCGATCGCAATGTAAGCCTGATTTATAATCGCGAAAATACACGCGATAGTCTTCGGGGAATTAATTTGAATTTAATATAGCGCACCGAGAGTTTGCGCCAAACAGATATTAGGATGCTGATCACGTACCATCTCATAATCCCTATCTCTTCCTAGAATATTGCGATAAATGATTAGAAACTTGTTCGCATGTGTAATATAGGTGTATCATGTTGATGCAAATGTACTTTGGATGCTTCATTGAAACGAATATCAATTTACATTCACAAATTGATCGCGAGAGCAAACAATGATCTCGGGAAACGATTGAAACGCTCGATTAATTATTTCCTGCTTTGAAACGCAGATTTAGAAAAAAGAACATTTGAAAACTAATTTTCGAGAGAGAAAAAATGCATTTTAAATAATACTTTTCAAGAATATTCGCATTATTTCTTATACCAGTCTAAAGAAACATAATGGGGCAAATTAAGAGAGAATAACGGAGCAGTTTTTGCTTTTTGCTCGGCATAGAAAGTAGTTTGAGCGATGAATTGTACAATGACGCGAGTGTATACTTATACCTATACTCAATCTGTATGATGAAAGGAAATTTTGAAAGTCTCCAACGTTTAAGAATCGCTTGCATTATAACGCCGACGATATCGCTAAACAAACGCAACTGAGCGAAAAACCTCTATCGTTGTATTTTTTTGTTGTATGTCGTCACGTTATACATTACAATTTCCGCGTGCACCGCGAATATTACGTCATTTTATATAAGATCTGCACGATGCGTCGCAGATTTCTGATGTAAGTTATTATGCGAAATATTTATAGTGAAAATACATCAATGTCAGCGGTGAATATATCTTGACATTTCGTCCTCGGACGCTTAAATAAGTTCAGTCTGTCGGCCGGTGACAGATCGAATTATGCTAATGCATTGCAAAATTTTTTTTACGAAATCAAAATGTTTTTAGAGTAAAATTTCGTAACATTACGCGAACAACCAAATATGATTTATATACGCGGTGATAAATTATGATAAGCATTTCCGACTTTATCTCGGATGCGGAGTAATAAATAATAAATTTTCTTTATCTTTCTCGAATATCGCAATCTTTTCGCTGCATCCTTTTTAGCGTATTCATACGATCTTTAGCGCTTTTTTTAATTCACGTTCGTCGAAAATCTAGGGAATTCGTATATAGTCGATGCTATCGTGCTGCTCCGGATTCCGACATAATTATTGCCAGATTGGGGAATCCGCTGCTGAATCGAACAAGCGGCGCTCTGAGAAAATTTAGTGCATCGTGATTTCCTCGAGAGTTTTAGAAAATCCGGAATTTCACTCTTCTCCTCGCGTAACGATTTATCGCGACAATCGCGTTCAAATTTACCGATACTTCCTCCGTATTCGTTCTCACAATGTTGCTTTGCTTCCACCACGATATGTGCGACGATATAGCAGGTAGAGACTAAAATGTCGACGGTGGGAATGCAATCAATGACGAGACAATGGCCTTTTGTGTCCCGGGACACAGGTACAACGCGATCTTATTATTTGCCCGTTTATTTCTTCGTGGTAAATCTTTTTCAAACGAGTTTCCAAAATAACTACGCGCATCAGCCACTCGAGGAAGAATAATCAATTATTGTTCAAATATAATCGAAATATATCTATATCGCGGCACGTAATTGATATTATTATTTGTCATTCATAATTAATAACCGTTGAGGTATCTAAAATTAATTAATAAACAAAGTGAAAATTGTAAAAAAGATTAATAAGCCAACCATTTCATCAATATCGTAATTAAAATATTAATATGTAATTAGTCGATATACGTTATAACTTTGTATAATATTAATTGAAATATTTCTGTAGCGTTTAATAAGTTCGCGAGAAACTTGAGAGAGATATTCATAATTCATAAACATATTCGTTATACGACGCGAACCGCATTTTACACGCATTTTGATCGTGTTTGAAACTTCAGGGCACGTCAGAGCAAGTATTTTCGC